TGATGTAAAATACCAAATTAGTTTATGCTAAGCACCACGTTTCTTTGGGAGGAGAGAGAGAAGCAAAAACAAAAACGGCAGAACAACAGAGAGAGAGAAGCAAAACGCAGAACAGAAGAACAACAGAGAGAGAAGCAAAACGCAGGAATAGGGGAACAATCAACAGAAAACCATTCAGATGGAATCATTCTTCGAATAATTTGTTCCATTGATAATTATCAATCGTGGGAAGAAAGTATTTCCAGAGAAACCCTATGTGAAACTCTTGATTAGTTAGGAGAGAAACTTGGGCTTGGAAAAGAATACATGAAACACCTCCATTAATAGTGAAAAAGATCAAGTGGGCCCATCAGAGATGGATCTTATATTTATTCTTGTTTGATCTTTGGCTAACAAGGGTCTCTGTATGAGTTGTTTATGGAACAAATCATAAGAGATTGGGCTATAGAAGATCCCTAATGATCTCCCAATTTCAAGACGCAGATAAATGGAAGCTTCCTCCTACAAGTAGGGCTTGCAGGCTAATATTTATATAAAAAAAATCTATCTATAAAGTGGGACTGATATTAATCTCACACAGGTGCCCCATGAATTTAAAGAAATTATCTCAAAAAGTGCATGAAGGCATATTTGACAGCATGGCCACAAATAAAATTCCATATGACAAAAACCAATACATCCAAGGGCATCATGGTTTGGTTTGCAAGGCTTATCAAAAGAGGTTACCAATTTCCAGAGGGAAAAAAGGGGGCCATAATAGGTGGAATTGATGAGAATGTATACTATGAGACTATTTATTTTTTTACAATGAGGACACAATTGTTATTGCCCATTAGATATCAAATTGGATAAAATTCGAGAATTTTTGTTTTCAACTTTAAGTCTAATCAATGACATACTCACAACCACCTAATTAGAAATCTGACGGACAAGAATGATTGTGACTTCTTTTTATAAAAAATAAACGGGTGTGATTTATATAAGGCCGAGGCCCTAAACATCTAAAGTAACGCACACCTTGAAATAGCATTGAAAGATGTTATTTCAGTACTGAAAATCTTTGTGATGGCCTAAAAATTTATTTTCATCTCTAACTACAAAACTTAAAGCTTCAAAAATAGTATAGATCTAGTAGATCTATGAACACTTGATAATCTTGCAAATTGAAGGTCCAGAAAATTCATTACAAGCTGCACTATTTCCGAGACTTGAAATCCATTTTTTCTCGTTTTAATATTGAGATGATCGATTTGGAAAGTTTTGGGTATTAAAACAACCTCTTATGGTGAATGTTTTAGGTGCGTTTTAATTTGATTGTTTAGGCCTCACCCTTATATAAAGTTTTTCCAAAATAAATTGTCTAATTGTATACTTTCCCGCAATAGATATCACTTATGCATATGGATTGAAAAATCATGAACATTTCTTCATTGCATGTGCCATTGTGGGTGAGATTTAGAAAGCAATCATGTTGATATCCAACACCAGAGCCATAGTCGGCTCAGTCATCCAAAAGCTCCTAGACAAGCGTTGGGTTGTTTCTATCCCCTCTCTGATCTGAATCATATATTGCAAGAAAGAAAAGATAAGGCAAAGGAATATTGTCATGGCACCATTCAAGCAACACTAATGGAAATAGAACGATTTCAAAATAGCATCCCCGAAGCAAAAATAATCTTCCAACAAAAAGACTAAAGAAATATATGACAGATAAGGAATATAAAATTCCCGAGTAACTTTCACCTTCACTGAGTACTGTACAGGAGAGATACCTCTAGTCAAAAAAACGAACTTTGGACCTTGGAATTTGAAGATCCGAAGTTTTTTTTTAACTTTATTTTTAAAGGTGACAAGACATGGTTAGGCTTTAAACTTTGACCTTCAAGACCTGAAGTTTATTTTGAAGGAAAACTTCAGATCTTTTAAAGTCTAAAGTTTGTTTTTGGGTTACTATTTTTTACAACGAAGTTAAACTTTATATCTTCAATATCCAAATTTGAAGGACATTTTTTATGGATATCTTCAATATCCAAAGTTAAGGCAATTTGGTTAAAAAATAAATAAATAAATAATAGTTATGAACATAAAAACAAAAATTTAAAGGGCATTTTTTAAATAACAGAAATTTGAGGGATATGAGTCTAAATTTCTGAAGAAATTTCCATGAGGATAGTTTTTAAAGCTTTTGGCAAGACGAATAATTTTATATTCGACTCAAAATAGAGAAACTAATTCCTGAAATGAAAATTGCTTTCCCCCCCAACTTTT